AGCCCAATGCAGGGCTTGAAGTCACAAACTGTGAGATCATGACCTGAGGTGAAGTCAGATGCTTGACTGACCCACTCAGGCACCCCTAGCAGGTACTTTCTTAAGTACTGGGAAGAGAAACATAAATTAGTCAGCAATCTCGGCCACCATTCAAGAAGCTCACAATCTAGTGGGGAAGAAAGACAAATATAGGGTGATAACTACTGCTACTTGTGACATTTTTAAACACAGAATACAGTGAAAAACTGCAAAAGAGAAAGCAGTTAACTATGCGTGGTAAAACCGGGAGGACTCCACGTGATCTATATTATTTGAAGAAGTGTTTCATTGTTTTGTATTTACTTACAAAATAAAATTTGCTCACATGTAAAAAGAAAAAAAAGTCTAAACAACCCATAAATATAGAAGAAAATAAAAAGTGAAACCTCCTGTCTTCAATATTTGTCATTCCCATTCGTCAACAATCAACAATCAACAGTTTGGAGAACCAAATTCCAGATCACACGCATGTGAAGTCTCCACACCTTCTATTCTCACATACAAAAATACATTTTGCATTTTATAGTTTTCAGATCACTTCGGTAAATACTTAAGAGTGCAATTCATGGGGGGTTCCTGGGTGGCTCAATTGGTTAAGCATCCGACTCTTGGTTTTGGCTCAGGTCATGATCTCACGGTTCCATGGTGCTGAGCCCCACTTCAGGCTTTGCGCTGGCAGCACAGAGTTGGCTTGGGATTATCTCTTTCCCTCTATCTCTGCCCCTCCCACTTGTTCATGCTGTCTCTCTCTCTCTCTCTCTCTCTCTCTCTCTCTCTCTCTCTCTCAAAAATTAATTGAAGCAATAAATAAAAAACTGTCAATACCAAGTTATAACAAGGATGTGGAGGAACAGGAGTTCTGATTCATTGCTGGTGGAATGCAAAACAGTCTAGCTACTTTGGATGACAGTTTCAGTTTCTTATAATGTCAAATATAGATTTAGCATGTGACCCATCAATAGCACTCTTTTTTTAAAAAAGAGTTTATTTTTGAGAGAGAGGGTGTGAGCAGGGGAGGGACAAAGAGAGAGGGTGACAGAGGATCCGAAGAAGGCTCTGTGCTGACAGCAGAGAACCCAATGCAAGGTTCAAACTCATGAACTGTGGGATCATGACCTGAGCTAAAATTGGACGCTCAACCAACTGAACCACCCAGGTGCACCGTCAGTTTTTTAAATTTAGCTATTCTAATGGTTGTGCATGACACCTCATTATTTTAATTTGCATTTCCCTAATTATATATGATGTTGTGCATCTTTTCATAGTCTTAATTGCTATTTGTATATCTTCTTTGGCCAAGTATCTGTTCAGATCTTTTGCCCACTGAACATTTTTTAAATTAAGATTTTATTTCTTTAGACAAGTCTTAGGTTCACAGCAAAATTGAGGGAAAGATACAGAGATTTCCCCAGACATGCATAGGCTGCACCCTTATATCAACATCCCCATCAGAGTGGTACATTTTTTATAACTGATGAACCTATAATTGACACATCTGTATCACCCAAAGTCAATAGTTTACATTAGGGTTCACTCTTGGTGGCCTACATTTTATGGGTTTGCACATATATAATGACATGTACCATCATTATAGGATCATACAGATTAATTTCACTTTTTGACTGCCATAAAAATCCTCCCTGCCATGGATTTAATATGCAATGTTCCATTTTTCAGTTCATTTAAATATTTTCTAATTTACATTGTGATTTTTAAAATTTGACCAACAGGTTATTTAGAAGTATACTACATATTTTAGGGAGATTTTCTAGTTTTTTTTAATGTTTATTTATTTTGAGGAAGAGAGAGACAGAGTGCGAGCCAGGGAGGGGCAGAGAGAGAGGGAGACAGAATCTG